TGTTCAGCATCTTAGCTGTAGAGGACAGTGTCACTGGCCCTCATATGTGGGATCTGAACCGGGGCCTTCTGGAGTCCCAAGCCAGCTCTTAACCAATGCGCCATTCGGCTGGCCCTTAAGAATATTTTTTAAAGTGTCACTTTGTCTAGGGCTCACTGTATGCCAGGCACCATGTTAAGGGTTCTATATTTGTTACTTTAATCCTCACAATGACCTATGTTGTCCATAGTATTACTCCCTGGGCTGGCTTCACAAGTGAGGAGGGACCCAGGCAATCCCACAGGACCCTGCACTTAGGTTAACACTCTGTTGTCGCTCTCTTGAAATTTTTAGCTCTTTTTAACAAGGAGCCCTGAGTTTTTATTTTGCACTGAGCCTGGAAAATTATATAGCCAGTCCTGGTGACCCCCACTTCTCAGAAGAGGATGCAAAACACAGAGTGGTCATGATGCCACATGCCCACGATCAGAGAACTGGGTGCCCCAGGGGTCTGATCCCAAAGGCCACACTCTCTGGAGTAGAAAGAGGCTGACCAGAGTCAGAAGACTCTGTGCCCAAGTCCTGCTGCCGGCACCTGCCTGTGGTCACAGGGGAGTCCCTTCATTCTTCCCAGACTCAATTTTCTCATCGGTGAAATGGGGTGATCCCGCCTGTTCCTCAGGGCTGAGAGGAGCAGTGATGGGCACATGGGTGCTTTTACACACTCCCTAAAACTCAGAGGATCAAACACTCATTAGCTGTCTCAGCGCACTGTGCTTCTGTTAATGCCTCCAGGTTATCCTGACACTGTTTTCTCTGGCCTTCTCTGGATTAATTAAGAAAGCGCCAAATAAAATAAGCCCCCTTCCCAAGGAGGCAGCTACATAAAGTCAGCATATCGTAGCTGTTGCCCACCCAAAAGGGAAGACCTTTCCCTAAGGGGTTCTCCCTCCCGCCGCAGATGGCCTGGCACTCTGCGGTGACTGTGCAGCTGGGAGAGGCGGAGGGGACAAGAGAATCCCCATCAGTTTCATCTGCTCGCGGCTGTCTGCAATTAGATCCTCTCCAGAAAGCATCACTGGAAATCATCAGAGCTCCTGTGTCAGTGGGAAGAAGCCCTATAGAGTAAAGCTGCCCCAAGGCACACTCAAAACAGATTCTGGCACCTCTGCAAGGAGGCCGATGGCGCCTAGGAGGGGCCCCAGAAAGCAGCTAATAGGTCTTTAGATTTGGAGAGATCCTAAAGAAGCCTGTATGACCATGGGACTGCACAGAAAGCCACCCATGAGGACACCCTATAGAGAGTGTGGACAAACCTTAGCTCTGCCAATGCCCCAAACCTAGGAGGTTGGTATTAGACCCCATTGTACTTGTGAAGAAACTGAGGCTCAGCTAGCCTGACCAGCACCTACAGCGAAGGCCATCTGATTTCATGTCTAGTGTTTCTATCTCAAGACCAGTGGTTCTCAACCCTGGCTGCTCACGTGGACCCCCTGGGAAGCTTTAAAAATATGCCGATGCTTGAGTTCTACCCCAGATTAACTGAATTAGAACCCCCAGGAGTGGGGCCTGGCAATCCATGTTTGTGGAAATTCCTCAGGGGATTCTCACATGTGTGACTGAAGGTGCAAGCTAGGTTTCTCTGCTATCAGTTGGGGTGAAATATGCCTCTTTATCCCTCAGAGTTGCCCCAAAGCAGGGGTATCAGAGTGTGGGGAACGGCAGCCAGCCTTCATCTGGTCAGCCTGCATTGCAAATGGGGATTATAGAAGCATCTGGAACAGAGAGCAAGCTCTACTCTTCTCAAGCATCTCCATGCCGAGGTTGGAGTGGAACCACACGCCTCCTTGGGTGGCCCAGCCTGTGTTTTGATTTTGATGTTGCCCACACCTGGTCCCCCTTCCCTGCCATAAACCAAAGCCCAGTTCCCACCACCCCAGACCAGCAATCACAACTCTTGGTTTCCGTTTTTCTCCTTGCAGAGAACTTTTTAGGCACATACGAGTCAGTACTAAACATCTCTCTTCCTTCCCCTCCTTTCTCCCACCAAGGGTGGCATCCTCTCTAGGCTGCAAATGTCTTGTTTGTTGCATGTAAGCTGTATCTTGGATATTGTCCAATATCACTTCATTCTTTTTCATAGCTGCATGCCCTCGGCACAGATTTTTAAAACTCACCCTGAAAACCAAAAACTTCTCTCCCCAGTACAAGTCAGATATCTCCTGCTGTGATGTACCCTGTCCAAAAAGTCCCTGTGGGTGCAGAAGCCGTGGGGCTGGGGCCTAGTTCTAACTCTGAGTTACTTCTCTACCCCGTGCCTTGACATTATGAGGCAAGTACCTTGGTTCAAGCCTCCCCTCTAGAGGTGGGGAGGCCATATCAGATCAGAACGCTGAATCCCTTGCCCGGGGGGCACTGCTGTGTGGGCATTTTAGGTGAATGTGAGAACCATCTTTCTATAATGGTGAGTTCCACCTCGCTCGGTTTAATAATTTACCTTAAGAGCAGTCAGCTCTTCCTTCATCTGCTGCAGGTTTATTTGCTTCCTCTTCTGAAGAGGTGAGGTAAGGTGTTGTTCTTGGAGGAAGAAGCTGAGAGTATGCGCTAAGACTGACCTTAAAGAGCTGCTGCCTGAAAATAGGTGTGATGGTGGGTGGGGTGGGGTGGGGTGAGTGGCCCCTGGAACCAGTGGCACGCCTGTGTCTGCCTGGGGACCCGCAGGCAGCTGCCCCTCATAGAGACCTAAGCCCTCAGACTCTGACGACCGGGACTTGTCCTTGCTAATTGCTGGGAGCTCTCAGGTGAGTCAGCTGGGAGACTCAGGTAGCGCAAGTATAAACTGGGGACAAAAGCAAGCAACTACAGACTTGCAGTGAGGATTAAATGAGATAACAGAGGGGGAATCATTTCATAAATGGTGAAACGGTATACAAAGTATTGATTTCTTATTCACTTCTCTGCATCAAGGGAAGGCATTGAAATCGCCTGACTTCTAGTCCTGAAGTAGCAATGAGCAGCCCTGTCACTGAACCTTCGCTTTCCGTCCTGGGGAGCTCGGGAGTGCAGAGGCCTCGTGCGAGGGGAGGGATTAGTACTGACATCGAATCCTTCCTGCAGGGCCTGCACCAGCCAGCAGATTTCACACCACCTGCCCTTCCCCATGAGGAGGGAGCTCAGCCCAACTTCCCCGCCAGTCTCTGATCTGCCTGCACCTCCAGCACTGATAGATCTTCTTGGCAAAGCTGCCCCCAAAGATTCCTGCTAATGCTTGTCTGTTCCTGCCTTTTGCGAAGCATGGCGCCCACAGGATTCCGGGAAGGATCTTAAATTCCGGAACACCACAGCTGCTCCAGAGGGCACTCTGTGTGGCTCAGCCACAGTTCCTCTCAGCTCTGGGAGCTGCTCACACCCCAGCGATGCCCGCAGGAGCCTTGGCCCCAGCTGGGTGAGACCATTCCAGAGCGGGACCCAACCTGACCATCCGCCAAAATTCCCACGCCACCCCACCACCTCCCATGTCTGGGTGTCCTGGCAGACGCTAGAATGTCTGTGCCCCAGATTCAAGTAGAAGAAGTGGTGGTGGGAGAAGAAGGGCCTGCAGGAACGGCCCAGCTTCCCGACGACCACCTCCGGAGCCTGAAGGCCCTTACTGAGAAACTGAGGCTGGAGACCCGCAGGCCCTCCTACCTGGAGTGGCAGGCCAGGCTCGAGGAGCAGGCATGGCCCTTCCCGAGGCCGGCTGCCGAGCAGGGGGAGCGTGAGGAAGCACAGCCCTCGCTCGCCACCGGAAAGCCCAGGCAGCATCCTCCACTTAACCAAAACGCCAGCCAGGATGACGTGACCCGGCCCGCGGGCAAGCTGGAAGGCTTTGAGAATATCGGCGAAGCGATAGCCTGGCTCAGGAAGGAACTGGTAAGTGGCTGCCCTTCGAAGGATCCCCAAAAGAGATGCCATTCTGTGTGTGTGTGTGTGTGTGTGTGTGTGTGTGTNGAGAGAGAGAGAGAGAGAGAGAGAGAGAGAGAGAGAGAGAGAGAGAGAAAGGGTGACCAGCACCCTGCACCCTTCCCTGCCCTCAGAGCCCATCTAGGAAGTGGGTTTGAAAGTTGCCCAAGTGAACAGATTAGGTCATCATGAGATGAGGTGTTGGCTGAATGACTGAGCTGCACCCACCTGGCTCCTGCAGCAGCCAGAAGAATTAGCTCATGGCTGGCAGGACCTCCTTCCCTCCCAGCAGCCACTGTGGGCCCGGAACAAGTCATGCAGCGTGTTTGAACAGCAGTGCCTGTGTGCAGTGTAGGTCCCGGGGCACTGGCATGTCCCTGCTGCAAAAAGACTGACACACCCCACCCCAGGGCTGATCCTCTGCTACGGAATTTCAGGTTTTCCTGAAGCTGAGGGGCCTGCTTGGCAGGGCATGTCTGGGCCTGGTGGGATTATGGTCTGACTTTGTTTTTCCGGATGCCCTGGGTCCCAGGTCTGGCTTTCCTCCTCAGGCTCTTCATCTTTGCAAAACCCAGAGAGAGACAAAGTGTGCTCCTTGGAGCAGAAAGGACTTAGGTTAGATGTCAAGAAAGACCGTCTGCCCAGGTTTTGGAGGGCTAATCCTCCCAGGGCCTGCACCCTCAAAGTCTCTGTTTGTGCAGATGAAGGGAAAGCCCCCACTGCCCTTCTGGCCCAGGAAGCTGTCCAGTGCTTGTCTCTGCTCCCCTGAACCTGGCTGGCACCCTCTACCATCTTAGACGGGGTCCGATTCAGTCACCCTTGGAGTGGCCTGTGTGGATGATGTACCAGCTGGAGGGAGGGAAGAAACCCCACAGGCTCTTAGGCACTGGGACATCCAGAGAGGCAAATGTTCCCTGGGACACGGTCTGATCTAAAAGGACAATGGACCATATTTCAGCAAATCCTGGTCACCTGGGCAGGCTGGGGACAATGGGAGGCAGCCTAGGGTTCATTCGTTGCCTGCTACATGAGACCATGGCTCCTAAAGTGGCAAGTCCCTCACATGAGCCTCTCCATGCCCCCCACATGCTCCCCTTGCTGATAATAATGATCTTCAGGTGGGTACCACTCTTTACAGTTTGCAGAGAGCTTTCATGTTACAAAATCCAGTTCATCCTCAAAGCCTCCTTATGAGGTGGGTGGGGGTGGGGCCCCAGTGCATAGATTAGGCAACGAAGCCAAGAGGAGAGGTCTGATCCTGGGTATTTGGCTCATCAGTAGCAGATCTGGGGCCAGAACCAAGGCATTTGGCCTCGACCCTTGCTCTCACCATGTGGATAACACACTGTCAAACCTGGGTCACCTGAAGCCATTGGTAGGGGTGTTTAAAATGTGAGCAGGAGCACTGAGCAACAGTGGTTTGAGTCCTGGCCCGAGATGAGCTGCTGCTAAGCTGCCAACAGGTGGCAGGATGGCTCAGCTAAAAAAATAAATAAATACATAAAATAAAATAAAATATGAGCCCGGAGGGAAGGGAGTGGTTGTGTGGCGTTTTTGTAACTGGGCTTTTTTTCTTCCTAAGGCAAATCTGTTAGTCATGGCATAATGAAAATGCAATTGAGACCTGAAAATCTGGGGGGAAATGGGGCCAACCAATTTTAATTCAGTTGGCTTCCAGGGAAGGGTGGAAGGGTGCAGGGATTGGCTCCGACTGCCCAGCAGGTCAGGGACCAACAGGATGACTGCTCAGTGCAGCCAAAAGGGATCTGTCTGACGATGTGACTGAGGTGGCACTGATAGGTCTTATCATCTTAAGAATATATTTTTTAAGATTTTTATTGGGGAATTAGGGGATGGGAACAGCGCTGGGGAATTGGGGGGAAGGGGAACATACAAGTTGCTGTCGTTTTTTTGTTCTTCAGTCTAGTTGTGGAGGACGTTGCTTCACTGGCCCAAGTTGGCACCATCATTGCACTCTTCCCTGGTGAGGCAGATCAGTCG